TGTAGTAATTATTTGTTGCACAGCCAAAAGAAAAAAAAATGGCAGAATTAAAATACACCAAGATATTAGCCAAGAGAAACTGAGCACACCAGCAGCGGATAGTTAGATTAAAGACATACATAGTAAGTTGTAAAAGAGCTTGGCATCGTGTCACTGGACTCATGAGAGCTTGGCATCAGATGATCGTTCGGCAAGTTTGTAGACATTGAATAGTTACATTGAAAAAATAGTTTACAAACTCGGGGAAACAACTTTGAAAAAACCAATGATCTAGGATAAAGGCAAAATGTTTTGAAAAAGTGTCAAGATATGTTTTTTTTTTATCAAACTGCCATTGCTTGCAAAAAATAACAACACATTCCACATCCAAACTCACACCCGCTTACTTACATACATTCCGAATAATAGTATATTATAGGAATATAGTTCACGAGAGTACAGTGATGTTTCATACTTTAGTTGGCATGACAAAAAAATAGTGCAAACCTTCATAGCTCTGTGCAGTCTTAAGGCGTAAAACTTGTTCCTGTTCAGTACACATAGGACTGTGGAATAGAAATATAGTACCGGTTGGTAATGTTAGATTACACTGTCCATGAATGGCAGACTCGGGTAAGAGTATTTAGAAGTGATCAATTAACAATAACAATAACAAGCATTGCAACACATAATATAGTTCCCCACTCCATTTCTTACTTCATCCGCAGACAGTTGTTCTCTTTGCAATGCGAAGAGTTTGATCTTTTATCCTATGTAGTAGGAAAGTGAGGCGAAACACTTTGGACGCAAGTGTCTGAGATCTCATCGAGAGCGAGAGAGCCAAGATAATATTGCCCCTCATGAAACCATGGTAATGACACAGAGAATGCGATGGATGATTCGGTGGAAATGGAACACCATTTCAGCGGACAAAACAAGTCTCGTTGCTTTCTCGCGCTTAACGAGATCTGGCGGACGTTTGCGTCTATGGTTTATTCAACTCACCAATGGCCTTCAACGCCTTGCGATAATCACCGGATGTTTCCTTGTCAATGGCAGTCACGATGTCTTCACCATTAATTTTGGTGTATTCAGTAAAGGTAGCTCTCAGCTGAGCGTAACTCTTAGAAACCAAGATGGCGCTGAATACACTTTCGTTAGTGCCCCATCGGCCCTCACCGGCATCATATAAAGCCTGCGGTAATTATGTAATGAGTTGTATAACAAAATTCAAACAATTTAAACATAAGTAAACTCAAGCATTATCATGACAGATATAAAAAATAATCATCTGGGTGTCAAAAATCAACTTTTGAAATATTTCACTAAATAAACCGGGGCAACCAACCTGGGCATCTGTTTTTGCCAAGCCGGGATTGACCATCTGATTCTCCATTCTTCCAGCCTGCAGCAAAGAAACAAGCAAACTTTTCAAATTTCCCGATGTATCGCTTTTGACATCTTTCTCCACATCCCTGTTGAACACTATATACAAAATAGAAATATATTAGGCCTGTTTAGAACCACACTTATAGTTATGATGATAAATAAGACAAACCGTGAAAGTTAATGTTAATGTTAAATGAGAAAAGCCACTAAAGAAGAAATGTTCAAAATAGAAAAGCAATGGAGTTGAGGAGGTAAGTTATAAGAGTTACAGAATAAGGAGCTACACAACTTGAAAGGATAAATAAGGAGAGCAGTACATAAACGATTAAATGAAAAATGACACGGTAGTTGAACAATTAAATGTGGAAATCTACAGCACATAAGCGATTAAATGAAAAGTGACGTGGTAATTGAACAATTAAATGTGGAAAGCTACAGCACATAAGCGATTAAATGAAAAATGACATGGTAATTGAACAATTAAATGTGAAGAGCTACAGTACATAAACGATTAAATGAAAAGTGACATGGTAATTGAATAATTAAATGTGGAAAGCTACAGCACATAAGCGATTAAATGAAAAATGACATGGTAATTGAACAATTAAATGTGAAGAGCTACAGTACATAAACGATTAAATGAAAAGTGACATGGTAATTGAACAATTAAATGTGGAGAGCTACAGCACATAAACGATTAAATGAAAAGTGGCATGGTAAATGAACAATTAAATGTGGAGAGCTACAGTACGTAAACGATTAAATGAAAAATGACACGGTGGTTGAACAATTAAATGTGGAGAGCTACAGTACGTAAACGATTAAATGTAAAATGACACGTTGGTTGAACAATTAAATGTGGAGAGCTACAGTACATAAACGATTAAATGAAAAATGACACGGTGGCTGAACAAACAAATGTAGGGAGCAACAGTACATAAACGATTAACTGAAAAGTGACATGGCAATTGAACAATTAAATGCGGAGAGCTACAGCACATAAACGATTAAATGAAAAGTGACACGGTGGTTGAACAACTTGAACAATTAAATGTGGAGAGCTACAGCACATAAACGATTAAATGAAAAATGACACGGTGGTTGAACAATTAAATGTAGAAAGGTACAGTACGTAAACGATTAAATGAAAAGTGACACGGTGGTTGAACAACTTGAACAATTAAATGTGGAGAGCTACAGTACATAAACGATTAAATGAAAAATGACACGGTGGCTGAACAAACAAATGTAGGGAGCAACAGTACATAAACGATTAACTGAAAAGTGACATGGCAATTGAACAATTAAATGCGGAGAGCTACAGCACATAAACGATTAAATGAAAAGTGACACGGTGGTTGAACAACTTGAACAATTAAATGTGGAGAGCTACAGCACATAAACGATTAAATGAAAAATGACACGGTGGTTGAACAATTAAATGTAGAAAGGTACAGTACGTAAACGATTAAATGAAAAGTGACACGGTGGTTGACCAATTAAATGTGGAGAGCTAGAGTACATAAATGATTAAATGAAAAGTGACACGGTAATTGAACAATTAAGGTAGAGATGCAGTTTACCTGACAGGTATTTTAAAGCGAACCTAAATGCGGCCTTAATTTATAGTTGTGTATATTCTAAACTGTATTCGAAATAATATTGCAGTGGTTTAATTTTGTTTTAATTATAACTGTAGCTTGGATAGGCATTTGAAGTGCTTGCCATGGAGGCCATTCATGGAGGGGAATAATTAACGAACGAACATATTTAACATCCGGGTACTTTTCAAAGCTATGACGTTTTAGTATCTGATCG